GGCTCCAGGAGAGCTGGAGAGGGACTGGGGACAAGGGATGGAGGGACAGGACACAGGGAATGGCTTCCCAGTGCCAGAGGGCAGGGATGGATGGGATATTGGGAAGGAATTGTTCCCTGGGAGGGTGGGGAGGCCCTGGCACAGGGTGCCCAGAGAAGCTGTGGCTGCCCCTGGATCCCTGGCAGTGTCCAAGGCCAGGCTGGACAYTGGGGCTGGGAGCAGCCTGGGACGGTGGAAGATGTCCCTGCCCATGGCAAGGGTGGGATGGGATGAGCTATAATGTCACTTCCAGCACAAACCATTCCACGGTTCTATGAGTCTGTGATATAAAACGTGGAATTYGTAGAAGGCTCCTTTCTCTGTTTCTCCCCGAACATCAGCAACAGCACAAGGCACAAAATAYCCATTCTGGGCACCCTGTTAACACCTCCCACCCCTGGAAATACCCACACACACTACAGATGAGGGATAATAYTATTACCAGGGTCAAGGAAAGGATCGTTATGACAAAGAATTCAGAGAAGACTGAATGTGTGGCAATTCAAAGACAAGACAGGGAAATACAGGTTTATACCTTGACTTTATCACTGATATTACAACAAAGCACCCAGCAACCAGGAGCTGTTTTGACTTCAGAAATGCAGCCAAGTGTGGGCAGTTTTCAGGTATATATGATTTTCAGATATTATTGACATTATTTCAGACAAAGCATTCTGAAGAGAAGTTAATTGAAGACTTAGCCAGAAAGCATTATTACAGAAAATGAACTTAGGATTCCAACTGCTGCTACAAGGCCACAAACCAGTTGGAGYTGATGGTGTTGAGTTTTAAACCCAGCACATATCACAAAGGAGTGCTGGGTTTGATACTTTTTTTATCAAGATCAAGAGCTGCAAGTGAATAAAAACTGCAGCGAGTGAAAACAGAAGGGAAGGGGAAATACTGATGTCAGATTTGAGAGGAAGCCAGAGGCAGCTCCTCCCAGCTGATGGCTATCAGGAACAAACCCATCAGGTACACATTAATCCCAGAAAAGGCCAAAACACACTTGTTCCAACACATTAACTATCCTTCATCCCGTCCCCCTGCTAAGATCCTAATGGTGCTGCAAGCCCTTCCTCTCCCCTWCTCCAACAGGGATCACTGCATCACGGGATTTTACTGCAAACACATTTCACGGAGCGAGAGGAAAGGCAGCAGAGCAGCCCAGAGCTCCAGCAGAGCAGCATCCATCTGACACGGAGAGAAACACGGAGCAGGGCGAGGAACGCTCCGTGTGTAACAGCCCGGCCCGCAGGGGGAGCCTGGCGGGGATTTCTCACTCCCGGCAGCTCCAGCAGGGAGCAGCTCTGGCTCCAGACWGGGGCTGTGCTCCGGGAAAGGATGGGGAGCTGGGAAGGGCTCAYTCCCTGTTGTCCTGTGTGTGTTCTCACAGCAACCCAAGCTGCTCCCGTTTGGGAAGCACAGCTGGAAGCCAAGAACCGAATCCTGCTTATCCCATCATCCCAGCTTTCAGGCAGGTGTMCCTCCCTGGGAGGCTCAGACACACACTTGTGCCACTCAGATGTGCTTTAGGGGAAAAAGGAGCAGCGTTGTGCCAATCCCTCGGGCTGCTGKAACACAGAGCTCCTCCTGCCCGGCCAGCTGGGCTCAGCGGGAGCGCTCCGGACTCATCCCGGCTCCAGGGAGCTGTTCCCATGGCCAGGCTTGGACCTTCCCGTGAAACTGCCTCAGGAATGAGCTGCCTTCCCTTCAGAAGAGCATGGAATACGTTTGGATCCACACTTCCCAGTGACTGGGCCTGCCATATGTCTCTCTTTCTTCAGCACCCCAGCTTCCACCAAGGAAAAGCAGAAGCAGCACACGCTCCCTGCTAGGAGGCCTCTTGCCAGAGCAAGGCACAGCTCAGGAATCAAATCAATCAGCAAGGAATTAATTCCAGCACGAATTTCTGATGGGAAGACAGATTTTGCAGGTCCTACCGAAACCATTACACGAGCATTACTTTTCAAAATAAGGGCTTTGACTAAAAGAAGAGCAGATTCAAGTGAAATCTGGTATTCAATTCAAGCAGGAAGTGCTCCCTCTGGCCAGCAGCAGCCTGAACTCCCACGGCAAAGTCTCKGTTTAACACACTTGCTCCATAATTTGGCTGTGGAGACTGCARCCTCGTTCCACCTGGATGCCCAGCACCTTCCTGCAGTATCACATGAAGAACTGACCTCTGAAATACTCTGCTCCTGTCTCCTGGATGCCAAATTTCTCTTCCGAACTATTAACCCCTAATTCTTGCTGTTCCAGTGCCATCCAACCCCCTGACCTCAGTGCTTCAGCTGCAAACCCAAAAGCTCTCTGAAGGGGAAGGGCACAGACATCTACTCAACCATAAAGGGGAGGGATATCAACTCCAGATCCTCTCCTGTCATCATGCAGGAGATCCAAACTGCAGGTAGTTTTACTTTGGAAAATGAATTCTCTGCTTTTTGAGGGAAAAAACCTCCCAAGGATTCAATTCCACTTGTCAAACTTTAGCTATTTCCTTTATCCTCCTTACTGAGAAAGTGTGAGGTTTGCTTGTACTCCCTATTCACCAGGAAGGAAAAAAAAAAGCTGTTTGACAAAATAATCATTTTTGCAAGCTGCTGCACTGGCGGGACAGAGGTCTGGGATTTGGCACAGGGAAGTACCCGCCTTCCAATCTGATCCCAGCACCRGAGCAGAGCACCACCTGCAGCCTGGTGCCCAGTGTGGAAAGGAGGAGGGAAGGAAGCAGGAGCCATTAGAGACTGGCTCCTGGCCATCCCACATCTCCTTTGGTGCACTGGATCAGACCCCACCGAGGACTGGCCAAAAAAAGGAAATCTAAAAATTGGACTCAAAGGGTCTTTTTAAGCACTTTAATCCTTTCGCGCTGCCTGTTCCCAGCGCGCCCGTTCCTGGCACCGGGCACTGAGCTGGGAAAATCCTCCTCCCCAAGCCAAGGAGTTAAAGAGAAAGCTGCTAATCAGCTAAATAGAAGCTGGAATCTGTTCATATGAAAGTCTCTTTTTTTCTTCTGCCACCTGAGGGACATCGCAGTGTTCCCAAACACACTCTTGACATCATTTGGCAGCGGGGCCCATCTCATCCTACACGGATCCATCCCCGAGGTTATTTTTTTAATATCAGAAAGTGAGCTCGGAAATGCCAAACTCATTTTGCGGGCGGCGGCGGGGAAGTGGAAGATGTTCCAAGTGCTCTCACTGGGCCGGGCACCAACTGCGGCCACCAAATGGCTCCGAAAGCTCCTCTTCCCAGGGAGCTTCCCCAGACAAAGCACACCAGCAGCCACTTCCAACTATTACCTAATAGTTCACTCCTCAACTTGTTGGAAACACGAGAGGAGGAAGCAATTCCAGCAGGACAGGAAGCTGGAAATGGGAGGTTGGAGATGGAATGCAGCTCCTGGGAGCACCCACCTTCTGTCCTTGTTGCCTGCCACCAGCATGTTGGGGGGGCTGTCACGGAGGTTGACACATGAGAAGTCACCCATGGAGTTGCCCACCTTGGTCAGGCACTGGTTTGTTTCCAGGTTGTAAAGCAGGATCTGGCAGAAAAGAGARTAAAACACCAAATAAATTGAGGGGGAGCACCACAACGATGACATTTTGTTACAGCACGAAGCAGAGTTGTGAGCACCAGAGGTGGTTTTTTGCAGGACTTGTTGCTTGATGTGTGAAACAGAATCAAATCTGTCCCTATTAAGAAAGGCAGACATTATTATTTTTATATATCTAAATGCACTTTTATATTTTATGTATCTGAGGGTATTAAGAAACCCTCAGAAGTAAGGAATTCGGGTTTCCCAGTGAGATCCAGCAAAAAGYTGGATGCACCACCAGTATGGCCAGGCACAGCTCTTGGGCAAAACAYACAGATCAAATCTTTCAGGCTGACAAAAAGCAAAGAGTTTCCTCACCAATTTGAACATCTGAGAGAGCAGTAAAAGCAAACAGCAGCAACCCTGAGAGGTTTGRACAGATGGACAGGGAGAGGCAGCTCCAGCCAAGTGCAGCAGGAAGAGCAGAGCAGAGCTGACCAGGCCCTGCTGAGAGCCTGGGTACCATCACACACCCCCAGAGAAATGTCACATCTGAAGCRGCAGCTCAGATGGGAAAGGCAGGAAAACAACTCTGATTTCAGGCAGCAGCCGAGATGATTCAACCAGAGCCGGGATRAGAAGCACGAGTTGTTCCCCGGCCGCTCCCACTCGTCCCCTCAATCAGTTTAATCACGTTTGCTGTCCTTCCTGTGGGGCCAGATGAGATGTGTCTACTCGGGCCTTTCAATTTAGGCGAGCGAGTATTTTTAGAAGCAGAAAAACGCACTGGTCAAAGCCCAGTGGAGCTCAGCGCCGCACCTGGTCTTATATAACTTCATAAACGTGATTAAATTTCACGGTGGTGCTCGTTTCAATTAAAAGAAACCCGTGACCTGGAGAAGAGTTAATGGTATTGAAAACATCAGAAAAACCCTACAGCTYCCATGGCAACGTCAGCACGGCCGTRGCAACGTCACATCAATACCCTTTATTTCTAATTTGCTGATTACAGCCACGTGCAGCTCAATAAATATTGCACTGTTTGGATGGATTATTCCAACATTGGCCAGAACAGCAGCACTGRTGCTGCCTGGTTTTTTATTTCCTGTCTGTGCCGTTTTAGAGATCTGAAAGGTTGGATGAAGAGAGAAGAGAAGATCATTGTGTGATGGAGGCCTCTGGACAAGCAAAGTGAAGCTTTCAAAACCTCGAGGAACGRGGCAAAGAGAGGCAGAGAATTCACAGGTTTCCTCCACCTGCCCTTTTTCCCAGTAAAAAACAGGCAAATTCAGACATATTCCAGCTCCCTATCAGGATCAACAGATCCACATCCAACTTCTTTAGGTGCTCCTAAAATTTATAAGGTCCCAATTAAGTTCTTTGTGAAGCTGTCTCAAAAAACATGGCATTTTTAATCCCTAAGACCCAAAAAACAAAGCAAGGATGACCTTTGTAGGGAAAATTAGGACAGAAAAATTACATTTTGAAAAAAAATGAACTTAAACCTCCAGCCCAAGGAAAAAACTGCTACAAACTTCATGGATATGTTAGTGTTTGAGGTAAAAAACAGTTTACAGCCTGTTCTCACTTYAGCCCAGCTCCCAACAGCTCAGTAACCAAACCCACAGATAATGATGTCCTGGCAAAGGGGCCTCACRGAGTTTGCAGCGCAAAGGAAATTAATATCTGTGCCTGGCAACCAAAACTTCTCCTTGGAAAGTCTGGAACAGAAGACAAAGTCAATAAACTGCTGAATTCAGCTTAAGAACAATAAATGCTGGGGTCAGGAGCAATGTTTTCCAGCTCCCAGTTGAGCCCTTCCCAGCTGGATGTTCAAACTCTGGAGGGGAGAGGGCCAAAAGTTGCTTTCTCCAAACACCCCTGGGGCTGATATTTCCAGTGAACATCCATAAACTATTAATTTATCTAAATGACCAGAGCTCCCATCTATCCCATAAACATCTGATACAGGCTCAAACATCCAGTCATGGCCATGAAAGGCTGYAATGAAAAATCCACGTAGCACTGAAAGATTCCCCGTTTTCCATGAAACATTTCCCCCTGCCTGGAAAAGCTCATAGGTAACACCAGCTGGAAAATTTGCTTATTTCTCCTCAAAACTTGTAGGTGGTCACCAATTTAAAGTGTTTGCATCTCAGAATCTGTAAAAAAAAAAGAAAGGGTTCCCACCCACAAAAATGGAAGAAAAGCTTTTATCATYTTCTCCTACCTCCTTCAACTCCTTCTCTCCTCATGCCAGTCTCTATTCTTTAAAGATTGTTTATTTTAACAATCAGTAACACTATTGATGATTAAAACAAAATTTATTTAAAATTTTATCATGCACAAATGTCTTTCTAACCAATTAACCTCATCACTAGAAGAGCCTCTCTGTGATTTTCAGTCTCCAAGTTTTGCCTGTCTTGAAATTCAACCTGTCTTGAGCAGTTTTATGGCCTGCAAATGAATTTCAAACCCTTATCCTGGCGAACTGATAAGTAAAGAAGCAAAAAGCACTCCGAATGCTGAAGTGTGAGYAATAATTTCCTGGATACAGAGGTTTAAAAGCACATTGATGACAATTCTGGAGTTGCTGGAACACCTCTGATGAGCTCTCCTGTAATATCCCAAGGCAAGAAGGATTTTCCTTACAAAGGCCAAGGAGAGAGAATGGAAATACCTGGTCAAGAGGGACTTGAAATAAGGGCCTGTGTGTTAAAGGGCAGATAAAGCATAAGATCTCTGCRAGGTTCATAATCCTATAATGCACACTGCAAAGGGATTACCCTTTTAAAGGTATTTATAATCCTATAATGGACACCCAAGCCCAGTGACCTAATAGGTACCGAGCTGAGGAAAGTGAACCAAGAGCATTTGGGTGTGAAATGAAGAACCCTGGGATAACACACTAACGAGCAGCCCTGCCCCCAGTGGGATCTCRGGGAGGAAAAGCATTAAAGACCCCGTGCAGCCGGCACCGGGCTCCGACGCCCCAAATAAAAAGTGTCACCTATTAACATGGGCCAAATGAAAAGTCCAACTGTTGGCCGTGAGCCAGCCAATCTCCCTGAATGCTTAATAATTCAGCAAGCCAGGAATAGGCAGAGTACCTCMAGCATTGTGTTTAGTTAAAGACCACAGAGATTAGAAAACACATTATCCATCTCCGAGGCGATTCTCTCCCTGTTACAAGTCCCTTAACGACCTTTACCGTCCCTCCCTCTCCCTCTCTCTCTTTTAATAAGGCTGAGCAAATGGGACTTCATTTGAGCCCGTTGCCACAGACTGGGGGGATTAATTATTCATGCTCCTACTCTCCCYTTTGTTAAGGCAGTGCATTAGACTGATTCCCCTCTTTCCTGGGTGATTCGGGCATGGCTCGACCCGTGGCTCTTCGGGGAGGGATGCACCAGGAACTCGGTGAATTTGTGAGCCCAGGCATGGGAAGAAAGGAAAAGTTACAGTTCTGCATGGAATTGCAGAGAGGTGGGTAAGGGGAACTCTCTTTAAATGCTGTCCAAGAACTCCTGAAAGACAGCTGAAATTAATTCCCAAAGAATGAAGGGCTCTGGAGCCAGAAGAGCTGAGCTGGGAGCTTTGTTCCATCTCGCAGCGAAGTGAGGTCAAGCGTGCTCAATGCACTCCGCTTGAGACACTTCCAAGAAAAACCAAGGAACTGAAGAAGGGAACGCTGCTGATGGAGCTCTTCCATGCGTGTCCAAACCCCCAGCAGGTGTTCTGGGATGCTGTGGTGTCGAAGATGTCTTTTTTGGACGGAACATGAAAACAACAAATCCCYGAGCACTCGTTATCAAAGAGCCCGTGGTACTTTCAACAAGAGCTGGGGTGTCCATCCCACTGTCCTGGCTGGGAGCCAGCACTGGCTGTTCTGGGAAGGGCTGCTGTCCCTTTCCATCCCATTGCTGCCTCCCCTTTCCATCCCATTCCTGTCTCCCCTTTCCATCCCATTCCTGCCTTTCCTTTCCATCCCATCCCTGTCTCCCCTTTCCATCCCATTCCTGCCTCCTGGCCAAAGGAGTGGGTGCAGACTGAGCTGTGGCTTAGAACTGGGTGATTCCCTCCATGTGTGGGGTGGGTTTGGTTCATATTTACATGAAATATTGGAGGGAGCGTTATAAATAYCAGCATTGTAAAACCACACTCCAAACCTACATCCTTTTCCTCACTGAACTGCACACAGGATACATTAAAGAACCACTTTTTCGGAAAGAACTGTCCAGAATTGAGTTCTCTGTTGTTTTAACTAAAATTAATCCACCCTGAGTTGCTGAAAGAGGCAGAGGATCAAACAGCAAGGCTGAGAACAGAATTTACATTTATTTTCAGATTTTGTTTCTCCCCCTTTCCTTCTGTCCAGCCCTCTGCCAACTGGAAAAAACATTGCCTGAATACACACAAATACTGCCAAAGTAAAAAAAAAAGGTCGTGAAATTCCAAGTCCACCACAAATAAAAAGGGATCTGGTTTCTGCTCAGGTCAAACYCATCCAATCCAGAGGGTACCCACAAAAGCAGGAATACGCATTTGTGGGGGGAACTCATCAAATTAAACCCAACATATGGTACACACTGCCACAAGTTTGGGTTTTATTTCTAAAGCCATGTTGGAAAAAAAAGAATATTTTTAACATTTACAAGCCCCAGGGGCACCGTTTCCCAGCGCAAATGTATTGGATTGCCTACTGTAAATATGGCACGTAACACTGCAACAACAACAAAAACAATTTGACTGTTAACAAATGCAAGGTCAGCACGCTGGTACTCGTGCACACAGATAAGTGTTCTGGCTCCATAAATTCCAAGATGAGCTAAGATTTAAAAGGAGCAGCTGAGGGAGACAGACAGACAATCAAGAGTGGAAGAAAAAGGGTAAATCAAACACAAAACAGCCAGTTAAAAAAATAAATAAATAAAAAAAAAGCAGTTAATATCCATGAATAATGGATGTTTGATTTAAAAGCAGTTTACTCCAATATGATGTAATTTTTGACAATCAGCCAGAGAGACTATTTTGCAAGTTCTTGCCAGATATAAGTCATTGTGGGGAGCTGGGAACACAAGCACTTCTCCGAGCATGTGGAAAATTGACTTTCATGCCACCCTAAAGGTGACTTTTCCCTGGCAGACRCGTGCGCCGGGCACTGCCTGCAAACCCAAACCCAGCAGTGCCCGCGCGGCTCCAGGCAAATCCGGCAGGAAAAGCGGCTCCCGCTCCTCCCCATCCAACACCTGCTGCACGAGGCGCACGCAGAGCTGAAGACAAGCGGAGTTTGCTTTTCCCTTTGAAGTTTCCCAGTGCCTGGAGCTGCAGAGCCAGGCTCCAGGCTGGTGGCGAGGAGGGGAGCCAAGCGTTGTGCCAGCGCTGCCAGCGCACCTGCAGCCCTGGGCACTGCCAGCCCCCGGGGCTCTGCCAGCCTGGGATGGGCCTGGCATGTGGGCAGATGTCTGCTAGGACGTGGAATGGGGGCACCAGGCTGACTYGTGGCTGAAGAGCTGCAGGCCCCGCTGGGATGATGTGGTGTTTACACACCGAGCCGCCCGYGCACTCAAAAAAATCCCTCCAGCCCAGCGATGGGATTTCCCTGACCTCAGGGAAACCTTCATCCATGGAGAAGGGAGGAAAGTTGAGCCTTAAAAACTGAATTCATTCCCTTGGTTCCATCACCTGGAATATTTTTGGCACATCCTGGGAGCTTCATTTTCCAAACCTGAGGTACCTCCCTGAGCTGCCGTGACGATTCTGAGGCACTCACACCATCGTGCAGAAAAGCAGAATGTCATTAATGTCAGCCAACAGAAAGGGATTTATTTATTTATTTATCCCTTTATTTATTTATTTATCCCTTTATTTATTTATTTATTCCTTTATTTATTTATTAATTTCAACTTGCAAAATTATTCCTGGTCATTCAAAGGGGTTGATCAATAAATAGTGTAAAATTTAGACAAGGAAAAGTTATGGACTCTCTGATTATTTTTCTTGTAGTGACCAACACAGCTCAGTTCCTCARAGAGTTCTGTCTCTCTGATGTGGTGTCCAAGAGTTTATAAAGAAAAAGATATTTAAAACACCTTTCAACACCTCCAAAGATGTGCTAACACCCTGCAGCTCCTCAAGGACAGACATTTGGGCAAGTTCCATCTGTTCAGTCACCAGTAAGCCCTGCCCTTAACTGGTATGAAAACCAGAGTTCCTAAAGATGAATTTGTTGAAAATTGGGCTGCTTACAAGGGTCATGAGGGTTAACAGAAGTGAAAAAGCCTGTATTTTTTAAGTAAGAAAGATGAGGATTAAAAAAATGCAAGTGTTTGGAACTCCRTGAGAACTGGAGACATTTGACATCAGAAAAGACAATGCAGCTTCTCAGTTGGAAGGATTTCAGTTAAAGTAACATGGTAGAAAGATGTAAAAGSTCATATAAAGCAGATATTTCCTAAATGTATCATCCAAGAATGACTGTAAAATATGATCTCAATTTAAAGGATTATTTACTGTCGCCAGGAGAAGCTGGGGATGCCCCAACCCTGGAAGTGCTCAAGGCCAGTGGACAGGGTTTGGAGCACCTTGGGACAGTGGAAGGTGTCCCTGCCCATGGCAGGGGGTGGGACTGGRTGTGTTTTAAGGTCCCTTCCAACCCAAATCATTCTGAAATTCTGTGATTTAAAATTTGTTTTTCACTCRCAATCACTTCACCACAGTGGTTAATTCCACTGGACTCACTCACGTTTCCAKGCAGCTGAAGAATTCCATGGAAACACGAAATCCAGGAGCAAACCCAGGCAGTGTTTCACTGGCTGCTGAGAGGAGCCAGGTGAGGCTGAACACCTTTCATSGAGCACAAGCCAATCAGCAGCTCCAAAGAGCTGCAAAAGTGACAGCATTAACAAGCAACACCCAGGAGAGCTGAGCTCAACACATCCAGCCTTCTGTCTCTGAGCTGGAAGCTTTCAAATCATCCTTTCCCCATCCACCACTTYTGGAATCAGGTTCACAAACCAACCAAAACCACAAACAAACTGTGCCTGATAATATCTGTATATAATAATAGAAAAATTCTCTTCCATGCTGTATGGTGGAAAACCCCCCAAAATCCTCCCTTGTTCGTTATCTTAAATCCCCAAGAGTTGCTGAATATGTTAAAAATGTTGAACAGAATTTGAAATACAAGAGAAAGCTGCATTGAGGGTTTTTTTCCTCTATCTCAGAAGAATAAACACCTCTAAATTTCATAGAAATAATCTACAAAGCTGACCTGAACTGGAGCAGGAGAGTGGRCTTACCTGACAGCAGAATCAGGGAAGGTTATAAAGGCACCAGCTCTGAGAAAAGCTTCAGCCAGACCCAGATWGCATCAGAAATCAGATGAAGTCAAGCCTAACATCAATCCTGCTCCCACCTCACGAGGTTCAGATCCTGACACGAAGAGGACCAAAGCCAAMCTGTGGATTTAATCTCACCCACGGTGTTTAAACCCAAAATTCCAACAGGTGGACACCCAGCCTTGGTGGTGCTGCAGCAGCTCTGTGATCACAGGGCTCCCAACTGCCTGACACAGGGAATGTGTCACTGGCCTGACATCATCCCTCAAGGAAAGTCCCCTGGATATCCTGAGAATAAGGGCTTCCCCCCTGGGTCATTATCTGAGCTATTTAATTAGCCCAAGACCAGCCTAGATGGGAACACAGATCTCAGAATTTGGCCTTTAAGAGAAAGAATGGATTTCATGTTGAGTTAACAGGGCTGAAACAACAAARCCTTTCACAGCTTCACTTAAAAAAGAGCTCCAGGAGCACTAAACCAAAAGAATTTTCAAGAAACACAATCGTATTTGGGTTGTCTGGTGCTACTGAAGTGAAAGCTGAATTTCTCAGGGCTGAARCATTTCTGTTCTCCCCTCCCTCCTGCATGGGTGTCTCTCATCTGACAGAAGCCAAGTCTAGGCCACGGATTTGATGTTTTCCTCCTCTCCAACATAAAAGTTCCCACAAAATTTATGCCTTAGATCTCGGCTCTGCTGTCAAACGTGGCTAAAATTAGAAAATTATTTAAAAAAGAGACGGGGAGCAGGGAAAAAGATAAGGTTTCCCTTGGTGTTTTCATCAGGAAGCAGGTTACTAGGCAGGGATTGTGAGAGGAGAAAAATAATAACCTGGAGGAAAACAAAGAAGAGCCYAAACTGAGGAGAAACACAGGCAGCAGCCAAGGGGGCTGGAATCATCCAGGATTGCATTTCCAGGATGGAAAGCTCTCCCAAAGACAGATTGTCACCATAATCAGCCCCTGCAAAATCCCTCCACGTCTGTGCGGGGCCGCTAATTATCATAATAGCCATYGGTAATTAATTTCCGGCGTGATGTCAGCCGGAGCAGCAGGGCCAAGGCAGTGTCCTTGTCACACCCCCATCTCCCTGATTAGGATGCACCAGGATTCATCCAATCTGCCAGGCAGAGCCACGACTAAATCAGGAACCAGGGGCAGCWCTGGGGCAGCACTGGGGGCCTGGGGAGGTTCCTCTGCTCCTTTATCAGGCACTAAAGGGGTTGCTGGGGTGATGTCCCCAAATGAGGCCATTTGACCTCCTGAGCTCCCACCCCTGCAGGGAGAAGAGCTGGATTAGGACAGCAAAGGAATTCATGGAGACAGCACAGCTCGTGGCATCTCAGTTCTGAATGAGAATTTTAATCCCAGCTGTATATGTTTATCCCCCATACAGAGGAAGCCCTAAATAAAGYTTTCTCCTTCCCATTCCTGCCGAGGAAAATCCTTTGTTTTCACACTACAAGTCACAGCTGCTTTCATCTGTTCCTTTTCCTGAAGCACCTTCTCTCACTGCTGCTAGCCTGAAGTGCAACATAAAAATGGAAAGAAACCAAGGAGTRGAAAAGGGAGGCAAGATGCAGGAAAGGGACAGAAATCCTCTGGAGATATCTGGAAACAGTGGAGGTATCTCCACAGCTTGGTCAAATGCTCAAGAGCACAGCACAAAAAGCATCCTCCTACTCAGGGTGCTCATTTGCTTGGCACTGATCAGGACGCCCTCACCAGAAACGCTGAGGGACGCTTTGGGTTTTTAGGTTGTTTATTGGGGTTTTTAGGTGGGGTTTTTGAGATGACTTCCCCTGCCACCACTGATGCGGCATAAACTGAGCTGGGCCTCGCTGAGGAGCACAAGTTGCAAAGAGAAATAATCTCTCATTTCAGCCCACAGAAGAACACAAAGAAGCTTCAGATTATTGCATTAAAATCTCCTCCCTCTACTGTCAAAAGCTGAAGAGCAGGAAAAGAAATCCTCAGCAGCACCAATTCTTTCTTCCTTCATTACAAAGGCACCAAAATCTTATCAAAATTGAATTCCAATACCTGGTTGGGCTCATTCAATAACCAGCCAAAGGTTTTGACCCCGAAGGCTGCTTCCCGAGCTGACACGTCGAGGCAGGTGACAGGCTGGCCATAGACAGAGTGCAGAACTTTGCCAGGATCTTCTGCTTTCAGGAGATAGACAATGTCCTCTGCAGCTGCCACCGCCACCGGACTCCCCGTGACATCTGGAACCAGATTAAGGAAGTTGACCTAAAAAGAGCAGACTTTTTATTTTTAATACAGTCAAAAATTCTCTGATATCACTGCTGCCACATACTGAACTGATAAAACTACTCGTCTGTGTGCCCTGAATCATCCCAATTACAGATTAATTCTACACAGAGAACAAGGATCGAGTTTATTCCTGAACTCTTAGGATGAAATTTAGCTCTCAGTCTTTAGAATGAATCCATTAAAAAAACAACTAATCAGAGYACATTACAATTAAACATCCCAAAATGTCACTTCAAACAAAGGAGCAAGATCCAATGGCCTCAATTTGAAGGACAGAAAGCCTTAAGGTTGAAACACACAAAGCAAACATCGTGGCTGGAATGTGAATCAGGTGCTCTTAAATGAGAAAAAATCCCCCAATATTTTAAGAATGAGTTAGCTTTGGAGTGAGACTAATCAGGAGTGGTYTAAATCACTTCCCACCCTACAGCTGCACAGTTTCCTACTAAAGGAGAGAGGCTGCAAGACTCAGTTATTCCTACACACTTCCTTCCCCTTTCAAACAAATGCTGATATCTGAGACAAAACAAAACTTCCGAGTAGGGGTTTTAATTACGAGTCTCAAAACTTCAGTGACAGAAGGTGCAACCTGAAGGAGCTCCACGAGCAGTTACAGCTTCACAAGTGACACTATCAGGCTGCCTGCAATATCCTGCCTCAGAATTAATCAGATAGTGTGGATCTGGAATGAGAACTGGAGTTTTAGCTCCAATTCTACATGAGAAAACTGATTTGCAGAATGAGCCAATTTAGTTTACTGTTGACAAAAAAAAAATTACAAATAAATTAAACCCAGCCAACCTTCTGCACCATATGGACTTGTGTTTGTGTTCACTTGTTGTTTAAGCCAGCATTTCACCCCTTGCTCTTCAGGGATGGAAGGTTCATCCCTTAAACTGCTCCAAAGCCAGAGCCTTGAGCTGGTAATGCCTGTATCTAGTTCAGGCTGTAAGACTTTTATAAGATCCATCTTAACCCCATGAAAACAATCAGTGGATCAGGAGCAGAGTAGCCTGGAGACTCACCAATTTCTGGATTTCAAASGTTGCTGGGGTTTGCCAGAAGCCTTTGTCATCGGGGCTCTCCAGCTTGACCTCGAAGGCCGAGGCCGTGGCCACGGCGGTGCCGCCCGGGGCCAGAGCTAAAGCCTGGATGCGCTGGTTGTGCTGGAAGTGATGGATTGGCTCCCTCCCAAACAGCAGGCTCCAAACACTGACAGTTCCTGGACACGGCAAAACGGGCACTAGGTTAGCTCAGGGCTTGACACAACTTTGAAAGTGTTTAAACAGCTGCAAATCAATCTGGTGGGTAAAAGGGAAATACAGGGAGGGAAGGAAAGATGAAATTCAGGATGCTGTGGAGGCTCTGAACCCTGGGATGGGTTCTGAGGAGACTTTATGTGCTCTGGCCTGAAAGAGGGGATGTATAGATGGGATATTGGGAAGGAATCGTTCCCTGGGAGTGTGGGGAGACCCTGGCACAGATTTCCTGGGAAGCTGTGGCTGCCCCTGGATCCCTGRCAGTGTCCAAGGCCAGGATAAATGGGGCTTAGAGCAGCCTGGGATCATGGAGGGTGTCCCTGTCCATGGCAAGGGTGGCACTGGGTGGGCTTTAGGATCCCTTCCAACCCAAACCCATCTGTGATTCCAGGGTCTGTTGCTCTCTGCACCTAATTCCTAATTTTTGACTTTCCAATAACATTCATACCTATCTTGAAGAAAACTCTATGACTTTTCTCACATTTCCATGTTTGGAGATCAGATATAAAGAGACACCTGAAATTTTGTTCTATTCTATAGAGGCCTTCAGTTACCCCAAAACCAGCAAGGAAGGACCCACACTCCCATTTTAAGTCACTTCACTGCACGATTCACAGAATACCAGAATATCCTGAGCTGGAAGGGACCCACAGGGACCACCCAGTCCAACCCCTGGCCCTACCCAGACACCCCAACAATCCCCCCTGTGCATCCCTGGCAGCGCTGTCCAAACGCTCCTGGAGCTCTGGCAGCCTCGGGGCCGGGACCATTCCCTGGGGAGCCTGGGCAGTGCCAGCACCCTCTGGGGACTGGAGAACCTTTCCCTGAAATCCAACCTAAACCTCCCTGACAGCTCCAGCCATTCTCTGGGTGCTGTCCCTGGTGACCACAGAGAAAAGCTAAAGAATACATATCCTAAAGAWTAAAGGAGTGTAAAGTCAAACGCCAACATATTTAAATTGCATTTTTGCCAGCCTGGCTCCCCAGTTCTCCATTTAAAACCATCACAATCCGAGTAAGAGCAACTTGAAGCAATCAGGAGGGAACAGAAGGGAACTSGAGCCTTCTGGGCCACCTTTGCACTGAATTAAGGAGAAGCAATCTTGCAGCCTGACAGGCAGGGCTGGAGGAGCTCCCCTTGCAGTGGGGCACGTTAATGATGGAATGATTAATGGCAGCTCTTCCTTCCCAAGGAGCCATGAAAGCCCTGACAGACAGCTGGGGATGGGCACCGCTGCCAGGCTGCAAACACTCCTCCCCAGTCCCAGAGGAGGTGAAGCAAGAGTGTGGTAATGAAACTGCACAGAGCGAAATGGGAGCTAAATGAGTTTAAATTGATTTATGTTCGCTTTTGTAAAGATTATTCGGTATCTGGAAAGTGCTACCGATGTGAAATAATGCAGATAATCCTTAAGATCCCTGTCTAATGGCACTCCCACTGAATATTTATATTCCTCACCATGGGAATGAGCACCATAATGGGGACCATTTTTGTTTTATTAGGGATGAATATTTAAATTAATCTGCTATTTGCCTAAACAATTAGCCGCCTCTGTTTGTTTCCACAAAGCCAAAACTGCAATTAGGCTTCCATCAGAAAGATAAGTCCCGACTAAAACTGTCCCGGCGGAGCCGTAAGGGCTCCGAGCAGAACTTCYCAAAATGACTTCTTAGCATAATGGTAATTATGTTAATTGCTTGAAAGGTAAATAACTGCTGAACTGGGTTTGCAAAGCAGACTGGTTGCACACACACTTAGCTTCAAACCAGTTAACAAATCCAAATGGGCAGCAGGGCTCCATCCCCTCCACCCAACACCATCCCTAAAAACAAAGGGATGGGGAAGTCTCATCTCCAGGAAAATGATTGAACCAGGCAAAAAAAAACCCCATCAGTGATAAACTGATATCAGATCATGGGTGTTAGAATAGACTTTTGTATCAGACCACAGATTTTGCTGCCAGGTTTCTCCAWGCAGGAGGGTTTTCCATTTTTGTTCACCATTTGTCCCAATCAAAGATCAGTTTCATGAATTGGGGAAAGGAGGTTGATTTGCTTTCAGTGAAGCCTTTTGTTTATGCATCCCTGTGATGAGCATTTMATGGGTGCAACAGTGCCTAAATGGATGAAAGTTCTGAAAAATTAAAAATTAAATTCTGACCACAGGAGCAAACTGGAAAACCCAGAACTCTAATTTTGGGCAACAAATCACTTACATAATTATTATTACTATTTTCATTATCATTGTTAATATTGTTTTTATTATTGTTATTATTATTACCATTATATTATTATTATTATTACTACTGAATTTCAAATATTACAAAAACAGCCAACAGTGAAAATGGCTCATGCAATAATAAAACTGCTTCAAGATTTGKTTTTTTGAACCAGATGTTCAACAGCAAAATCTGTCCAAAATAAAAGATTTTAACCAGGCAAATACAGTGTGTGCAACATCTGATCCACAATATGGGCAATACATTCCTTGTAATGTAAGGAAAAAAAAAGAAGTGATTTGTAAGGTCACAAATTCACATGTAATGAAGGAGCACAAAGTAAWGAGTAACAAGGAGAGTTCAAAGAATATCYTGAGTTGGAAGGGACTCGAGGACCATGACAAGGAAAACAGAAAAAGCAAACACTCCACTGGATTTATAAATAGGAAAAGCTGCTGTGAGGAATAAAAGTGCTGCTCAGAATATTCTGTATTTTGCTGCATAAACAGCAGAAGGTATTTATGGGCATGCAAGTCTTTGCAGCAGTCAATCACGTTTGGGTGAGAGCAAAAAAAAAATCCCTCCACCCTCCCAGTTCAGGTTATTAGTGTGGCAACATAAAAAAAATCAGGCTAAGATTTACCAGTGCAGATGAGATCACTGCTCTCCATAGTCTGTCTTCCTGCCTCCAGCACTGCCCAGTGCCTCATTTCCAAAGCAATTCCTCTGCTAAGGTGAAGTTAAGGTTGCAGCCATACATTATCTTTTTTTTTAACTTTTTAATACTGAAACCTTTAAAGTGTTGGAAAATGATTAAATCAAGATTGTAAGTGCAGCATGCTAAAATCTGCACCACAACTGCAATTATTCCAACTGAACTCCAATAATAATTCCCCAAAATGATTTTTAAATATGAGCAAGCTGCAAAATCATATTGGTTCAGGAAAACAAGTGCAAGGAGCTGCTGCCGATGGTGGAATGCTGATACTTGACATGACAACCACTGCACCAGCCTTGTTTGTCACTTTGCCCCAGATTTGACAAAGAATCCAACTTCCACCCCAAAACATGGTTGAATTGTGGTCTGATGAAAGGTCCATTTATTGCAATTTGCTCCAGATGTGGAGAAAACATCGAGCATGTTTTGACTTTCCAATAACAGTTGTATTTATCTTGAGGAAAACGCTTTGACTTCTCTCACATTTCCGTGTTTGGAGATCAGATGCAAAAAGATCTCCTGAATGAACCTGAAATTTTATTTTATTCTATAGAAGCCCTCAATTACCCCAAAACAAGTGAGGAAGAACCCACACTCCCATTTTAAGTCACTCTGCTGCACGATTCACAGAATCCTAGAATATCCTGAGCTGTTGTGTCTCAGCAGTGATGATCGTGAACTCTGAATTTTGGGAGCACCAGCCTTACCCACTCTTGTTGTGCTCAAGGCTGAAGGCTCCCCTCTCTCTCCATCAGAGCACAAAAGACATCCTGCAAATGCAGTTTTTACATCTATTTTCACATGGCTTCCTCTCTGCTATTGCCAGGGAACACATTTGCCTCAGAATTAACAACAAACAAGTATCTCTTTCCCTATAAAATCCCCTAATCCTCCGACAGGGAAAGGCAGCACAAGCACAGAGGCAAACAGTGTTAAATCTCATTTGTAAATATTCTCCTGGCTGTGTCTGGCAGCATCACAGAGCCTGTCAGAGCCCCTCCTGAGCTGGGCACAGCACAGGGCACYGCCCACCTGAGCTGCCTGCTCCAGGAGCTTGGGATGGAGGGCTGGATCTGGGTGTGGAGGATCCCAGCCCAGATCCTAAAGATCCATTGCATCAGCTCTTCCGTGTTCAGACTGCCTGGTGGTTGCTGCCAGCTTTGGAAAAGATATTAAGCAATTTATATGTGCATTATCTGGGGAAAAAAATATTAAAAAAAAACAGAATTTTGTCTGTGTTGGAGCAGGGAATCCAGATGTGCTCATGGTTTTTGTGCTCATTCACTTCAGCTTTTAAACACAACAGTGGGAAGGCCAGAAGCTGCTGGATTCACATCACSTCTGTGATGTTTGTCCTGTTTCAGAGTTGTGTCTTGCCACTTTGACTTAAACAAAATAAAATTCTTCACTTTTCAAAAATACCYGGACTTGATGATCCTTGTGGCCACCTTCCAACTCAGAGTGTTCTGTGATTCTATGGCTCCTTACAGGTTTGGGTTTTTTTACTCCAAAAGGGAACATTAATTTATTTTCTTATAATTCCCAGCTATATCATATGTCTATGAAAAAGTATGAGGAAAACATGGAAAAGAAGCACCAGCCTGGAGTATCAACACTTCCTACTGTGAATTCCAAGTTTTTCCCAAAAACATTTCTAGTCAGAGGAGCTAATTTAATCTTAGCAGATGCTTGAAGTTCATTAACCAATATTTTACATTTAATTTTCACTTCCAGCAGGTACTGAGGGCACAAAGCAGAGAGAGATAAGAGCCCTCACATCACCATTACCACACCAGCTCCCACCAAACCTTCCCAGATTTTTCCTCCACCACCCTTCTCACAGGGATTTCCACAGGACACCATCCCTGGACAGTCCCTCAAAGAAGGCACAGACCCTGTTTCATTCCCAACTTGGGGAGGGATGACTGGGATGGGAAATCACAGTCCACTCACCCAAACCAAGAGGTCTGCACCCACAGCCACCAATGGGARTAAATATCCCACTCCCTGCTCCTGCAGTTCTCTTCTAACATGTTTTCCTTCACTCCAGCCAGCCTGGAATGCTCCTGCTCCTGGAAGGAGAAGGGGAAGGCACCAAACCCATCATTCTGCACACAGGGTACAGAAGAGACAACACCCCCAGGCACCTTTACGGGCACTAAAATGAACAAGACCCCAGAATTCCAGTCCCAAAAAGCAGTGCTGCCAAAATTCCCCTCCTGGAGCCCACCAACAAGCAGGAGCCCCTGTGACCCCTGCAGTAACACCTTCCTTGGCTCCACGGAGTGACTCTGCAATGTGGGAAGTGTCACCAGCTCCTCACACTGAGTCTGTGGGCACAAGCAGGATAGCAGAGCTGTCCCCACACGAGGGTGACGGTGACATTTAAAGGACAGCACAACCAAGTTGTGTTCTCCTGTTGCTGCTGACATTGTTTTTGAGTCAAACCATGAAACTCCAGCGCRCAGGGGGGAGAGGGATGGCTCCAGGAGAGCGCTGTTTCCCAAAAGCTGTGGCCGCCAGCCAAAGGCAGGCAAGCATGGAGCAGATGGAGTCCTGGCAAGGCCTCTCCTGTCCCTGCATTAGCAGCATCTGCTCATTACCCAGAACCCTCGCCTGCTTTATCTAATGCTCCAGGAAAAGCATTTTGATTTGATTCATTTCAGTTCGGTAACGTGCAACACAATTAGTGGTAAAATCAAACTGGAGCGCTGCCAGTGCTGACAATAGGAAACAAGGCAGAAGAAATATGAGGCCAGTGGGTTGGAATTCAAAAATCACAACTGTGGCTCCAGTTGCCAAGTCCCGTTGCCCCAGGTGTACATCCAGCGCCCCCACTGAGCGCTGGCACGGGCACAGGGAACTTCATTTGCTCCCCATCCATTTCCCTCTYGTTCCCCTCTCTTTGCAGCCTGTCTCTGCAAGGTTGGCGCTGTCGGGAACATTCACCGTGAGCCACAATCCCGTTTTCCTCCAGTGCCACCGTGGAGTTACAACCCACTTCGRGTGTAAGACAAATCCTTGCTCTGCTTCCTGTGCCTTGGGAAGGGAGCTCCAGGAGCACTGTCAGCCCTTCCCCGTGATCCCTTCCCCGGGATGGGGTGCCAAGGCCAGCTCTGCAGGAGCCCTGCTGGCCCGGGAGGAGCCGATGTTATCGGCACGAGCCCGGGATCCGCYAGGGAAGGCCAGACCCTGCCTGACAGCAGCACCTCCAACACGAGCAGATGGTTTCTCTGGGTTAGTCAAACTTACAAACAAAGAGGAAAGGGAGCTGGAAAAGTACAACAAAGAACAATCAAACGCATTATCTTCAAAGCCGTCCGCTCCCTTCCCGAAATTTAAAATAACTCTCTCCACCACACTGTAAATACGTGCTTTCAGCTTGCAGTTAGTAAACATTGCTAAAATGGGTCTTTTTATTTGCCTATTCCCATAGAAACTAATCTATTCTGACCAAGGCTTCTCAAATCAGAGTAACTGCCATATCACAGAGCCTATTAGAATTTCTACCCAAAAGAATAAAAGATGCCGAGCCTTATGCAAACTAGTTCAGTCACAGCACTGACAGCAAGGGATATGACAGGCAAAAAACCCAGACAAATTATTAGATTAGTCAGTGGGAAAGCAGAAAACAAACAAAAGACCCTCTGCTAGTCATTGTTTGGCATTCTGGAAAAAAAGCCAGCACTTAAACCAGTGTTATAATTTCCTATGACTCGAGTAAATAATATTAATAACACCAGATTTGCTGTTGTCACAAAATGTTGCCTATTAACAATTCTTACCCACAGAAAGCCATCTTGGCATGCTTCAAGCTAGAAAAATAGCTAACGATGTCGAGAATCTTAAAACATACAAAACATTTAATTTACATTTAAAATAAAACACATGGATTTGGGATTTTGTYTGGATTATCCACCTTCTGTTTTGTCTTCACCTGTGGAAATGGCAGGATCAAAGACAGCGTGAGTACAAAGCTCTCTAAATTGATAAATATTCTTTATTTATACATTTTAAGGATCAAATGATAAATTTTAAAGAAGGATGACTGGAATTGAGCTCTGCCTGAGCCCCTCAGTTTAGGATCCCTGTTGGCCAGCACTGTCCAAACCTGACTTTTTTAATTGCTGTTCCCACATCCAGAAGACGTTGGTCTTTGGCTCTTGTTGTCYATTATAGAAAACCTCCAAGGATATTTAAAACAACACACACAACCAGGATTTTATGAGGGTTTCACTAAATATTAGGTCAAAGCTTTCATTTCTTTAAATTCAAGGATGTAATAATAACAACCCAGCACTGCAAACCAACACTTCAGTGCATCCACACACCGTGCCAAGAGCGAGAGGGACAGGGATTAATCAGACATCCAAGTTTACCACCATCCCCATAACAAAGCTCCACAGCGCCCCAAGGGAGTTTTGGCCAGGGGAGAAGGGCTGGTGGAAGAATATTTAATATTTTTATAGCAAAACAAGTTATTTGCTTAAGATAGCTTGGCTGGACTACAGCCTGGCACTCAAGCTTTGTGCAGCAGCTCCAGTAGGAATTAAAGCTCGGTTTTAATGGGTGCTATGTTCCAATGCCTCCTAATGCATTTAGGGTTATTGGCCAACTTTCTCACATAAAAGCAAGTGTGTGTGCGTGTGTGTGGATACACAGGATTACGGGCACACAAAAAGCTGAGCACAGCTGCTTCATTTTTGTCAAGCCTTTTCTTTTTTTTTTTTTTTCTCCCTGTTGTTGTTTTAATAGGGAGGAGAGTGGTGGCTGCTCACCGTCCTCGTAGGCTGCCACGGCCAGGGAGCTGTTGATCCTCACAAAGGAGACCTGTGCCAGGGTTCCAGCAGCTCCAGGGCCCTGTGCTGCTTCCAGCACGGGYGCTCTGTAGTCCCAGGTGCGGGTGTCCCACAGCCTCACCTCTCCCGAGGTGTACCTGCAAAAAACAAGAGCATTGCTCACCCCACAGCARCTGCAAACAGGGGGCTGCAGCAGAAGCGGGGGAGAAACAAGAATGGGTTCAAACAGCTCCCAGACTGATCCTCCCCCTATCCTCAAACCCATTCAACCTGCTTATTTTAGTCCCATTAATTCAGTGTGGCACCAAGGCAGGCAGGTAAATTGGAATTGGAACGACAAGACCCACACAACTGAGTGACCACTRTCAATATTCACTTTACAACTAACACACAAGAGAAAAAAGGTCATCAGCAACAAGCTTAAATTACATCAGGGCAAAACTTCACACTGGTTCTTCTCACCTTGAAAGATTTGTGGCTATGTTGAAGCAGAACATTTATCTGTGCTCATACAAGCACCCAGACAACCTACTGCTCTTTACAGAAAGAAGTTTCTTTTCATAGGAAGAAATTTATTGATGTCTCATCAACAGATCAACTCACCTACATCTCTGAAGACTAAYTAATTAATTCAGCTAAGTGTTGCCTTTAGAATTAAGGCAGCAGTTCTTTCTTTGCAGCAGGCTCACCAAACTATCACAAAACCTGTAGTTTATTATCACTTTGTCAATCAGGAAATAAAGAAGAATTAAACTTTTCAGATAATATTGAATGAATGAAGGCTSTTACACAACAAACAACAGATAAACTGCTCTGGGCCACCCATGTCCAGACAACTAGATTATTAAAGGGGAAAAAAAAACCACTGCAGGCAAAGCGGAGAAGAAACTTCTATTATAACTGGTCAAAGACCACAGGTCAATAATTATTTACAGCCAATTCTTTTAAAACTGGGATAATTAATACTGTCAAAGGTTCAGGTGTCTCTCTGCCATGACACTTTGACTCTTTTGGAAAATCAAACGTGCTTCCTGCTCTGTCACCTTTGTTGCTCCATCCTGACTTTTGGGGGAAAAATATTATGAAGGAATGATCCTTACAAGAGGTCTGGTGGTTGGGAATCTGGCTATGCTGTGCTTATGAGGAAAACAAAACACTTCATGACAAAGGAAGTGAAGGCAATAAAGGCTTGGAAGATGTGGGACTTGCACTCAGGTTTCCCAGTTCCCAGGCCAGGGCTCCAGGTACTGGGAGCAGATCACTCCCAACATCTCTGTGAAAATGCTCCAGTTTATAGAAAGAATAGAAGTGCCCGAGGGCGTGGTGAAATCTGTCAGGCAGAGAGAGATTCACATTAATTCCCTGTACTGATTAGGGGCAGAGGGAGCTGTGTCCTTGTCACCTGCCTCCTGTGCTGTAGGAGGGACACACCCAGGGAAATGAGAGAACACGGTGGGACCCTTCTCCCTCTCTCTCCCTCTGCAAACGAGGCAGAGGAGAGAAACCCCGCTCTGAATCCTGCTTTCATCTCCAATTCACAGCAGCACAATTTAAGGAGAGCAGAGCGAGAAAGAAGCTCCCCCAAAGCAAAATATTTCACGTCGGATCGGGCACGGAGCGCGGATCGGATCACAACAAATATCTTCAGTCTGCAAAAGCAAAGAAGGCTCGTTCTGCTTCCAAATGTGGAGATAAACCACAACAGGACAGGTGATTGCACAGATCTGCTGCAGTCTCCATCAACAAGAGGCACATGGAAGGTTTTGGAAGCATTTTAATTTGGAGTGGATTTTTGTTTCCTTATGTTAGGGTTGGTTGGGGTCGTGTTTTCAAGCTTCTCCTGACTGCCAAGAGCAGCAGATTCCTCCCAAGGGAAGCCAAAATTCTCTTGTCATTGAAAAGTGAGTTTCAGAGAAGACATAAAGCACTGGTAGAATGGATAGAACTCAGTGACAGAATATTCCTTTTTGATCCCTAAATAAACAAGGAAGAACAGCATCTCCTCCTAGTGTAGCTCTCACACAGTCCAGGCTGGAGAAGAAAAAAGAAAGATAAAAGATGGAGAAAATGGCAGGAGAAGAGGAGAGACCAGGGCTGGGTAATTCTTGGAGCACACTGCATCTGGTTTCCCCACACAGTAGAGAACACAAGGGATCCACCAAACATAACAATGTAATGAATGCAAACCTGGAATTAGACATTCAACATCACAGCACCACAGAAAATGCTTAAATTAATTTTACATCAGCATTCAATCAAGTCAAAATTTAGTCTGAACTGGTTTTTGTTCACAAAGAACCACCTGAACCACCTCTAAGCCAAGCTGAAACTGGGACAGCATCACCAAACGCTTCTGACCGTTGGCTGGAAATCAATTTAACCCAAATTCGGACACGTTTGTGCTGGCACCTGTTTGGCAGGGCCTGCATCAGACCACCCTGCAGCCTCCTCCTCCTCATTCTTCGYCTCCCTGAGGGAGCAGCAGATCCTGGAGGGCTCCCACTCCTCCACCATGCACCACTGTGCTGTCCCAGCCCTCAGCAGGACCTGCAGATTGTCCAGCKGTGCCCCAGGGGCTCTGACACCATCCAAGAATCCCCGAAAACATCCTGGCCATGGTGCTCCCTCCAGCCMTGCTGRGACAGGGAACAGGGACAYTCCACATGCCAGGAGAACCCTGAAAGAGCCACCAGCCCTCCCCCATGGCTCTCCAGAAAYCCCAGGAGACCCAGCACAGGAGAAGCCCCTCAGGAAGGTTCCTAGGGTTTCCTGTGTCCCTCCTCCCCCATTTCCCACCAGTACCACCATTCCCATCCTTCCCAGTGCTGTCCCACACAGCAAAACTGAAGGATTGGGAGAGATGTTCCACAAGACCATGATGGGAACACAAATGGAAATATCTCCTGGATATCTCCAGGAACTGGGATACAGAAACCAGCCCCTGAATTGCCCATTTCCTGTGTGCACCGGGCCTGCACACCAGAACTGAACTGGGCACAATTTCAAATGCAGATGAATTCGATTCAGAAGGAAAAAAAGAAAAAATTAATGGTTCAACTCCCYGCTTTTAATGCTGTCATAAAGAGCAGCACACTTTCAATTTGTAACCACAACAAAAGGCTTTTAAACTATTAAAGCATTGCCTTGTTGTAAAAAAAATAAAAAGGCTGCTTTATTGCAGATAATTGGCAAATCTGCCCTATCAACAGAGATGGCTGGAGAGAAGAAGACACTGTGCTGTTTCTAGATAATTTCAAGATTTCTATTCATTTCTCACCACAACTCTTACATTTTGCCCTGAAAATTTCATTTGGATCACTCAATKGAATAACCCCAGCTGCAAGTCCTGCCCAAGAACAGGCACAGCACTCCAAACCCACTCGGTTCCTGGTTTTTCTACCACGATGCAATGAAACACCCACTTAGCTTCCTGCTGGAGCAAAAAAACCACCCAAACCCACTCAAAAAAACTCTTCCTGTTCAATACAACAATGAATATTTTCTATTTGCTCTGACACTGAGCGCCTTCAGCTGCTGCTGTTTTCCCCTGATGGTTGCAATGAGATGATTTTTGCAGGTAAATACTCCAACACCTAACACAAACCACTTGCACTGAGAAAACCCAACAAACCAGCCCCAAAACCTACAATAATACACAGAAGAGACCACACCTGCTTTACTTCATTTAGAAAGGCTCTCTGGAGTAACAAAACTGCTGCTTTCAAGACCAATTTCCCTCTCTCCTGATAYCCCTTTCCCTGATTGCTTCCATCCACACCACACCTGGCTCCCAGCTCTCYCCACTCACAGACACATTTTTCCTTCTCTGATGTTCAACAGAGCCTCTCCACCCAAATAACTCAGCTTCTTTGATGGACTCACATTCCACTCTGCCCTTTTTCTTTGCAATATTTCAGTACAGACACGTGAGAAGAAGCAGCAGGAGAAAAGACGAGCTGTATTTTTCTAAATATACTTCTTCTCAACGAGCCAGTTCTGTAATTCTGGCCAGATATGGATATAGCTGTAAAAAATTAGCCTGGAAATTCAGCTTAAACTTTACAGAGACACATAAAAACCTCRCTGAAATGGAACAATAGGTGGAATGCATATGGCAAAGAAAAACTGGGAAAAATTAAATTCATATCCAATAAAAATACCTACTCACTATAATCAAAAGCATTTTTGTCTACTTTTTACTGGCAGTAATGCCCTAATGAGATGAAGGTTTTGCTCGTGCCCTCTCCCATGAGTGGAAGCAGAAGGAGCTGGGGGTTAAAAGCTGCTGCTGCCCCACGCTGAATGTCTGGGAAGCAGGTGGTGGAGTGCAGAGCACATGTGGGAGGAAGCAGAGCTGGAGGCTGGGCACGGCTCTAATGAAGTGGTGCTGAAGAGGCAGCCGATTTCATAAGGAGAAAAACATCAGGAAACCRGTCAAAACACAGAATCTCATCTGAAAAAGCTCCACTGTGCTGGATGGCAAGAGCCAGAACAAATTTGGGGAAGAGGAGGAGGGGGAGGCTGATCTCTCTCCAGAGCCCCAGATGTCTTTATGGTTGCCTAATGACAATTATACTCAACCAATTAAGACACTGCTATCACAGTTGCATTGTTAGTAAGCCTTTGGCCCTGAGTGTTGATGGCTGTCTAATTAGTGTTTGTGCAAAGTACAACTGCAACTAATATATAAACTGACAAATACACAAAAGAAAAACTGTTAGCAGGAACATTTTCCAAACAGTCGAGACTCTGCTCGTTCAGTCCATGGCAGCAGCAAAGACAAACTGCTTTCCTTCATGGCTGGGGTTCTGCTGGCACTGCAGAATTTCACTTCAAACCAGAGGGTCAGCGAGACCCTTGCTGAGTTTCTGTTCAGACAGGATGCTGGTGCCACTCACTTTTGGTGCTGCTTCCAGGGCAAAGCTGGTCACCAAAAACTTCTGATAAAACCCATCAGAAACCAGTTTGCATTTTCCATGTTTTCCCTAAAGAGTCTGCAGCAAGGAAAAGGAAGGAGAAAGAACCCCCTTTGTTTCACAGTCAGGTTGGATTTCCAGAAGGCAAAGTCTGTTCRGTTTCCAGATACCTGCGGTGATCAACAAACCAAAAAAAAAAGAAAAACCCAACAACTTTGTTT